ATGACTACCATAATGTCTCTCATTATCTTTACATATGCTGAAATTGAACTTAACAAACTAGACTAATATTCTGAACAGTGAATAATAGTATTGCTAGATTTTATATCATAATGTTACAGAATTAGCATTGGGTTTCTTAGTTTCTCTTCTTCAGAGTATCTGTTCATTACATCTTGCATTATATAATCTGTTCCCATAAATAGTTTAAAAAATTCTTCCCATGTGTGAATTTCTACATGTATATCTATCCTCTATGTATTATAGGGAAAAACAGATCATAACAAGGCAACAAAGAAAATTCCTAGAAAAACATGCAGTGAAAAAGACACATAAGACCACAATATTAGGTGATCTACCATAGTTACTATGCTTTCTTTTGTTATTTTCAATAGACTTGTCCACATCATCAGGCTTAATATAGTTAAGCATAGTACTACACAGCTATTTTTATAAAAGCACAACTTTGAAAACGTTGTAGGACTTGAGATCAGTTAATCAAAACTGGTATGGATATCTTTTACATCTTGTCATCTTCAGAGTAGTTACCTCTACTTTTAGACTTGATACTATCAAGCATACCAAATTTGAATAAAATCAGCCAAGGCAAAACCGCTGTATAACAAATCAGATTCAAATAAGATCAGTCATAATAAGACAGTATAAGTAATACAGGGTTTCAGTTTAAATTAATAGGAAATTAAGGATAGTTACCATGGTATAACCTGCTATTTTTGGGTTAGATGTGTGTGCCCTCAAATCTGATATGGGTAGACAGACAGGAACAAAATAAAATCAAACTAAACAGAGCGCTAAGACTACTTTGATTTTTAAGACTGATACACTATTAACAATGACCTTTGCCTTCCTTTGTTAGGCTGTTTTTCACCTTTCCCCTTCTCAGGATGCTTTGTATTTTTTGGGTCTCACTAGCCCCTTTAGTTTTTAGATTAGGGGGCCAGCCCATTGGCTATCTGAGTTGTTGCTGAACCTTTCTACCCCTGAGCTTGATCTTGAGCTGTACACTTTTACTCACTAAAGTCATAGGGTTTTCCTTCCTTACAGCTGTGTAGTTCTACACTGCCCAAAAGTGTCATAGTGTTCCAATCTATCTGCAGCTGCTGGATGACTTGTCACTATTTCTCTCTGGTTTACTGTCACATATAGCTTTGCTTTGTCATCTTTGACTCTCAGTTTATTAACCCTCCTTCGGGTTGAGTATATTTCCCATTCAGAGCATCTCGATGGAGCCTGCCTCCTACTCTACTCTGCCTGTTTTTTTTTTTTTTTTTAATTTTAGTGTATCAAGGCTACCTATATTAAAGATTATAGCTTACCGTCTCTATTCCACTTTACTGCTATAATTGTCTGCTACTCCACTTTACTGCTATAATTTGTCCACCTTACTCCCTCATTCCACTGTCTGCCCAGTAGTTTATTTTCCTAAGTAAATCATTTTATGTGATTTGTATAAAAAATAATACTTATTTAGTTGCAAAGAGCTAGCAGTTTCGTATGTGGTAAAACATGGTCACTCTCATGCTCAGAGCAAGTGATGCTTTTATCCTCTTCTGCCAATGAGGAAACTGGATATAGTGGAGTCAGGGACTTGCAGAAGGTCATATTCACAGAACATCCACTACACTGGGATGGTGAGTGGGAAAGCAAGGCAGCCTGCACTGGGAGACTTTGCTTCACCTAAAACAAAGACTTTGCATGTGAATTATTATCACACTTTCAAGCGTAAATGTAGCAATTAATGTTGCCCCTTTTTAATAAGTCATATGGATTCAGAAAAACATCAGGAAGGAAAAAAATCACTGCAACTCTCCACACCAAATCTGACAAATTCACAGAATGCCATACTGTGAGAACACATTTTTCCAGTGACAATTTTATAGTAAAAAGAGTGATTTTAACTCTTTTGTTTTGCAAACTCTTATACGTATTCTGACAAATACTAGCAAACTATGTTAGGCCTAGTAAGGCAGAATTCTATTATACTAAGCAGGCATGAAAGTTGAGAGCCTCGTAAATATTAATCACAGCCTAATGAACAGTGGGAGATTTCTGAATATCAATCTTTACGAGGGGGAAACTTTGAATTAAAGGGAACACTTCCTAACCAATAAATCACTGGAGGAGAGTTGAAGGCATTCTCATGCATCTGCTTGTGTAGTGTGTTCTCTATTCCTAGAGGAGCAGACAGTGGGGATGTCAAAATAGATGCAATTTTATAACCCCACATGGAACTTCTGAATTTTTAAATGGATCATTTTTTAAATTTTTAATTATCTTCAAAAGACGCTGGATTGCATCACCCAAAACTTGAGAATATTATTTAGTGTCAGTGTTAAAATAGGTCAGACGGAGAGGGAGCGTCTCTCATCCTTTCTCATTAACATTCGTAATTCATTGTCCAAGGGAGTAGAAGACTCAAGGTGAAGAGGAGACCAGAAATTCCAAAGCTTGATTTGGCTTATTGCCTCTACTGAATGCTTGTTTTCTGAGTTCATATATGACCTATAAAAGAAAAAATGACATTTTTCCGTCAAAATTCATAATTTCATAAATAATACCAACAAATGTATACACACCTATACATGCTTAAGAGTTATCCACTAGCAGAAAATTACCACGTTTCTTCTCCACAGAGGGAGCTACTGCATATTAAGATGAGTCTGAGCAGGAATACTGACACATGGTTTTATATTGTTTATGCTGAGAAACAAAAATATGGAACTCAGTTAAAACTTTGAGTGTTTCTTAATATTCAGTATGTAGAAAGGATATAAAGTCTACAGTATGCTTTTTCATTAGGCATTAATATTCTCATGAGACTACTTAGCAATGAATGACAGCAGTTCCTATGTCCCTTGGTGCCATCCAAATTTGAGCTCTGCTTACTGAAAGAACAAAAACCCATGTATTAAAGACCCTGGGCATCAGAAATGGTGGACACCATTGAGAAATACACTAGAAATACTACTTCCAAACAATATTATGCTAGTTCAAATTCACAGGGAAGTTAATACTAACCCTTTAGGTAATAATACAGCAGAATACTATAATTAAGCATTCACCACTACCAATCTTTCATTTGTCTTACATTTCCTCTTAAGGCAGACACAATTATGCTGATTTTGAACACAATCGTAGATCCTTGTGTCTAGTGGTTCAGTGGATATTTAAGAAATATTTTTAAGATTAGCTTTTAGGTAAAAGTGTGTGTGCTCTTTCATGACAATAAATAGTTTTAAGACAAGTATTTGAATGTAACTGAAATTATAATATGGTTCCCAACTCTATGTAATGCAGTGAAATGGAAGTTGTAGCTTTACACATATTTCAGCACACTTTTGTATGTAGGCACTCTGTGTCATCCACAGTACAACACACTAATTCCTAATTTCCTTTTTGTTATATTAAATCTGTGAGTTTATATACACTTCAGAGCTCGCCAAAAACTTCTCTTTTGAAACTTTAAGGAGCTACTGTGTTGAGTGCAAAATATTCCTTATAATGCATGTCAATGATCTTATTTTTTATAAATAAACTTTGTGTGATGAGTAGTATATGGAAAACAAATTACACAGGAGACAATAGCAGAGTTGGCTATCTTTTCTTTAGCATTTTCTTTTATTTCATCTTACACTCACAATAAGGTCATCTTGTTTTCTCACTGATAGGTAAAGTTCATGGAACGCTTTTTCTCTGGCACTTGGAGCTTTTAGATAATTCAATCATACTACTTACACAAACAAAAATAATAGCCTTCATGATCCATTACCAAGGTTCATTTTTTGATATAATTTTGTTTACTACTTGCTATCTCATCTTCTCTTTCTTAATTTTCTGGGAATCCATTTTTTCCTGCTGTACATTAGAGTTACAAAAAATATATTATACTCACCAGGGGCAGTTCTGATAATTTTCAGTCTGTATTGTGTTGAGGACTAAAAAGCACTGAACTGATTAAAGAGGAAATAAATTAACTGGATTTGAAAGGAAAATATGCTAAATCTCCAAAATGTGTCACTATTCAGTAGACAGTAACATGGTCACTATGATGCTTGTGGGTCATAAAAATAATGGCGGAGGTGTTGGCAAGGCTGGAAATGAAACCTGTGTGTAGAATCAGTAAAATTAAGATGAAATAAAAAGATAGTTACTGAAGGTGATCTTAGAACACAATAAACAGAATTCTGTAAATTAAAGGGCGAAAAATGGTGGTGATTGTTTGATAGTCACGAGGGTCATTCCTGTCAACAGGCTGCAGAGTAGGGTGGCCACAGGACCCTCCAGGACCCAGATCCAAACCCCATAGTGGGTGCTTCCAGCTGCAGCCCTGTGGGACCCTGTCCTGGGCACCGTACCTCAGTTGTTCACCAGCATGACCTGAAGAGCCGCTTATAGATTAGTGCCTCAGGGTCTCACTGCCAAGATTCTCCTGGCAAACAGAACAGCAAAGCTGTTACCTTCAGTTCCACACCCAGCACAGGCCAAAGTGCTCTATGTCCCCCCTTTCCGGGGTCTATGTCTTCTTCCTTAGGAAGTGCTTACCCCATCCCTCCTCCTTGCTGCTCCCTCATGGTTCCTGTCCACCCACCACTCACTCTGCCTCATCTCATAGGTGCTGGGGCTTCCGGATGGAGACCCCACTTTCTCCACACTTCTATGTTTTCTCTTTTGCTTTGCCTGCTTAAAGGCCTCTGTGTAGAGAGGAGAGGAGAGGCCCCACGTTGGGTGCCAAAAATGTACCTGGGTCCCTTTAGTGCTGGGGTTTTTGCTTGGGAGCAAGGAAGACTGAAGCTGACAAAACAGCAAACAGCAAAGAGTGGGAAATGCGTTTGTGAGAAAATAGAAAGGAAGAGAGTGGCCTGCTGGTCAGGCAGAGGTGGAGGTGTCGGTGTGTGAGTCTGTTGGACTGCACAGGTCTGCAGTGCAGTCTCTTGGGTCACCACTGCACAAGGACCTGTCTCACTGTGCTTGCATCTTTGCAGGTTTGGATTCATTCTTCACAAGGATGAGGCTGCACTGCATAAAATTGACCTTGAGACCCTGTCATACGTCCGCTCGGTGGACCTGGGGGCGCATGGCTGCGTGCCCCACTCACTGGCCTACTCGCACCTGGGCGGCTACTACTTTGTGAGCTGTAGGCCTGATGGCTCAGGGGCCACGCTCCCACAGCTGGTGGTGGACGGGGTCACCGATGCGGTCATCGGCCCCAACGATAATGTGACGGGTGTGCCCTATGTGTCCCCGGATGGCCACTACCTGGTCAGCGTGGACAACACCCGGGGCCTGGTGCATGTACAGCACATTGGCGCACGTGGTGAGATCCGAGGGGCTTTCGACGTGCGCACTGACCTGCATCTGGCCGACCTGGCCTTCCTGCCATCCTTCACAGCCGCGCGCGGGTACACGGCTTGCGGCAGCGCTGGCACCCAGGCACTCTGCCTGGACCTGGCCTCAGGTGCCGTCAGCGTGCTGGGTGGCCTGAAGGAGCCCCTGCCCGCTGCGCAGTGGCCCTGGGATGCCAAGAACCGGCGCGTGCAGGCCAGTGGCTTGTTCGGCCAGTACCTGATGACGCCCTCTGAGGACTCACTCTTCATCCTGGATGGCCGGCTGAACAGGCTGAACTGCGAGATCACCCAGGTCGCCAAGGGCAACACCCTGGTCTGGGTGGGTGAGGCCTAGCCTGCCCCCTGCAGGAGAGTCCCAGCCCTTTGCTCTCAGCTGAAAGTGCAAAACTTCACCTTGCAAAGTCATGTCCCTGTCAGACAAAAATCACTGGGTGCCCCTAGTAAAATAGATCATTTCTGACAAGGAGATATGCAAAAATACAGCTTATTAGAAACAGTTAACACGATGTCTAATGCGAAATGACACCACTTAGAAGATTCAAACGCGTGATTATGGTTTAAACCAATAAAAATATTTTAAATGCTTTAAAAATAACTAACCTGCAGGGAATTTCAGATGATGTAAGCATCATGTGATCTGAGGGGAGCATCTGATTTTTACTCCCATTTTTCTGGTACATTGAACCAGAAATAAAAGGTAGTTTGGAACTCTAAAATGTTTAATTCGAAATATCCTGTTCCGTCCACTCTTTATATCTTTTGTGCCTTGAAGGGAATGTCACAGGAGGAAAAGGAAGACTAAAAGCTGCATACTGAACACCCTTATAGCTATAAATCTATTGTCACTTAAAACTGCTTATATCTCTTGTCAAATCTTACCTTCAGTCGTCTGTGGGACCCTCTACAAAATCACATTTGAAGGCACAAGCTGGCCTAAGATAGCACACAGGTGACAAACCCTATTTGACATTTATTCTACAATCTGCAGCATGCTATAGAAAATGGAGAAGTTAGAGAGGAAAATAAATACGGTAAAAATGTTCGCAGCGTGTGATTCACTCACTTTGCTCTCCATTACTGTTTGCATTACTGTTTGAATGCCAGTTTGTCTGGAATCCCAGCTGCACTGGAGTGTCTCCGCTGTTGGCAGAACAGATGCTTCTCTCATAGCCCAGCTTTCCACAGTCAGGAGCTTTCTAAAAAAGGAACTTCAACTGTATCTGCTTAGAATCAATCCAACCAGAGAAGCTAACAGCAGTGAGGCAGGGCCACAGGAGGGAGCTCAGCGGGGGAGTTCAGGATGGGTTCAGTAGCCGGCGTAGTCCAATGGTGGTGAGCAAGGTGGACTTCTCCATTGCTTTTGCTATTTAAATACCATACCATGAAGAATTTTACTCTCAGTAATTGCCACCCATGATTTCTTCTATTCAACTCCTACATACTCCCAAAGCTATCTTCTCACTGTGTGCAGTTGTGGGAACCTAACTAATCCTTCCCCTGGAGACGCTGCAGAAAAGTAAAAATCACTGCTTCTTCCATTTGAGGAAATGGGAAGGAGAAGTCCAGTAGTAGATTAGCACTAGAGAGCTGGTTTAATGAAACAAGCAGATAATTATCCAGGCTTCAAGTAATAGCTTACATGTTTTAAGATTTGCTTCTAATTGTTGCTAAAACTGCTAATGGGTTGTTGAGATGACCTCTATTTAGTGAAGGTATCCAATAAGGTCTTTTTTAAATATAGATTTTACTCATTTAAAATGGTGTAAAACTGCATAGAAACCTGAAATTTTATAGTGTGTAATAGCTTATGTGTGTATAACACCCTGAGCTGTGAGGTCATGATTTCTTCTTAGCTTCAGGAAACATGAGAGGTAGATTTGACAAACAACTAAAATCAGCTTATCTTTCTACGTATTGAACCTGCTTCACTTTCCTGTAATATTCTCCTGTGTGGACACAAACCGGAGCCTCTGTCTGGGATTTAATGATTTAATATATGTCTGTCCCATACATTCTTCTTTTGTAACTTTCACCACGTGGCTGCTGTCTTTAGATATTGCTTGATAAAAGAATAAATCTCTTACATTTTACCTCTTGTGCCTTTAGTAAGTGATTTTGTGTGCATTGTGTTCTCATCAATGATTTAACCTAATCTGATGTTATTTTGAAAACAATGTGATGAAATGGTAGAGGAAAAGTAAAGCACAAGTGTTCTCTTTGTAAGAAATCTGAGTTGTTACATCTCTTCAGTGTTCACGGAGAATCATGCATCCTATTTTGTCTATTTCTTTGAATTTATACATTAAGAGAATAATAGCTGAATGAAATATGAAAAGTGTACTCAGAACCTGGTGCTTTTCTTTCCATATCCTCACACACTGAACAACACAGGATGTTTGTTGTTGTTGTTTTATTTTGTCCTCAGTGCTTAGGCTTGGAGAGAGCCTCACCCTTGATGGGTAGTTCATCTACCCCAGCCATATCCTTACCCTCAGCCAGCATGTTAAAAAGAGCAGGAGCTGAACACTGGCTCGAGAACCTAAGCAGACACAGTGTCTCTGCTGGTTATTTCTCAAGTGGGCTTGTGTTTCTCCAAGATAGAGTAAGAGGGTAAGAGGCAGGGCTGGGTGTCAGCCTCATTATGTAGTGTATCACAGAGTTATTGATAATATACACTCGTGTGCAAAGTCAAGGAGAAAGACCTGTGTGAATGCTGAGCAGCCTGCCTTAATGCAAGCTGTAACCACCATGTGAAGATGTTTAACAGGAAGCAAATGAAGCTGCAACCACAAAAAGCAGTAAGTGAGGAAAGTCAGGAAAGAGAAGGGGAGGGAGCAGTGGGCGGAGATGGGAGGTGGAAAGAAGGGGTCATGGTGGGAATGAAGCCAGAGTCGAGGTGTGAATTTAAGCAGAGCCCCCAAGGTAGTGTTTACAAATGTTTGAAAGCAACATTTTATAACTTTATTGTTGTTTAATGGGATGAAAATTTAAATTAATAAAGAGGAAATTAGAGGAAAAGGTATGAGGCATCTATTGCAAACATGTAGGTTTTTGATCTTTAATATAAAGCAATTAAATTGTGTATTGAGACATAAGGTCTGTCAGGGAACTATATCCTAAATGGGAACCAAACAGAAGGAGGCAAAAATGACGGCTCACACATATAGTTTATCATCACTGATAGGAAAGACAGCCAAGGAAGAGAACCACATTCAGGCAAGAGAATGAGATTTCCAGTCAAACGTAAATTAAATCACAACCAAGATACACCTCTGCATGTCACATCATGCAGAGCAAATCAATGTGATTTTCAGGTGTCATTCCACCACCTGTTTAATTATATGTGGAAATTTGAAATACTGGAAAAATTGCAGTTTGGAACCTTAATTTCAAATTCCCTTCAGAATGCTCAGAATTTCCTTTTATGAAATAAAGTAATTCAACTATATTTTACATCCACTGAGTTAATATTTTACAGTGAAAACACTTTGTTTAATCATATCTGACAACTTACTGTGTTACACAAACTTTTAAAATGAGAACATGTGGGAACCATTTGCGTGCTCTTGGAGACCATATAACTCTATCAAGATGAAACCCAATGTGAGGGCCACAAGAACTGGGAAGGGACCACTTCTAATGTCTCTCTCCTTAGTGCTCACCATTTAGATGCTCCTGTGTGAAAGGAAAACAGAACAATAAACATCCACCAAGAGGCTGTTTTCTCTGTTCTTCCTACCACACTGTGACCAGTATAATTTACTTCTCTCGACAAATTTCATAGACAGAAATGTCGTATGGAGTCATGCTGTATAAATTCTCATCGGACTATGTGAAGTCATGGTAAATGTCCTCATCTTCCCTTAACAAAATCCTATCCATGTGACATGGCTTTTGTTTGCAGATAGTAAACTGCACAGGAGTTTTAGTAATTCAAAAAGAAAACTTCTCTAATAGTCAGTGGTAAATGAATGTGTTTCTGGCATTTAATGGCTATGACACAGCTATTTTGTAGTAATTTACGGCTAAATTGCAAAGCAGAAAAGTTTCAACAATCATTTGTTTACTGGAGTGTTGGAATGATGAATTCTCAATGTTTTGGGATGTATTTGAGATCAGAATTAAGTTTTTCACTGAATATAAGTTATCAAAAACTGAAAGAATACAGATATATTGAAAGTATTCGGTATAAACATTTGGTAAATGGTTTAAAAATTATCTCCAAATTCACATTTTGACACTTCAGAGAAACATTTTAACAAAATCCAAGTTCATCTCAAAAAGTATATTGACATTTCAATAAGAAAAAATGAAGTTAGTATTTATATGTATAATTTTTTAATAAAAAAAATCCACAAAAAGTGTAATTTTCCTTTACACTCAAATTCATAAACTTATTTAAAGTGACAAAGCTCAAGTGAAAAGTCTGATGGACAGTTAAGGCAGATACGTTAACATTAATAAATATTAAAACTGTTAAACACTGATTTATTCTATGGTGCTTCTACTCACTCGTCTGCTTTCAAAGTGGTTTTGGCCTTAATTCAGTTTCTGTAATTTGTCCAGAACTGGACAAATCTCCTTTGGCAAAGGAGATTAAACAATCTATTTTCTCTTGACAGTAAAAAATAATTCACCATGTTAGATCAGCAAACGTTAGTTTTAAATATTAATTATTCTTTGAGGTAATACTCATTTTAATTTGAACAAAAATGAGTACATTAATCAGATTAAAAATACAGACATATACCATGTTAATATTATATTGCTCATGAATGTTGCTTACTGATAGGCCTGTCACATTTTGTTTATTTTCACAGTGATTAAACACTTCACTGGTTTGGGGTGTGTGTTTTAATTTGTACACATTCAGAAATAAAAACATAACTGACCATATAGGATAATTTAGTTTTAATACTTAAACAAAGTCCATTATAGTTTTGAAATAGTATCACATCTTGAAATACATTATAATATAACATTATAAATATTATATTAATATGTATTAAAACAAAATCCTTGCATAAGTTTGATTACTGATTCCAGATGACAAAATTTCACATTTACTAGAGTGTAGGCAAGCATAAATTGCGAATTACAGGAGAAATCAAGGAAACGAAATAATGAATCTTAACACTGGAGATCCCATTAGATCAAATAATTTAAGAATTATAATTACATATAAATCAGAAAAATGTATGCTAGAGAATAATAAATACTTATACATATGTATATATGTATACAAATCACTTCTATACTTTTCAAGATTACTATTACATCTTTTAAGTGGATCACAGACACAAATCCAATAAAGAACCACAATGTGGAAAAAGGTGTCAATTTATTAAAGTAAACTGACAAATTAAAAATCAACAAATTAATATATATGCAAATAAATAAGCAATAAATTAAAACAAAATATCATGAATAGCAAGTTTCAAAGAAGGAATAAAATTAAAACCTGTACAAGCTACTTACACTCCATAACATAAGGAAAATAAAAACAATATGCCTCAAAACTAACGTGGAGTTTGTCATATTGCTTAGAGAGAAGATTCTTCTAGCTGGCAAAAAAGTCCTCCCTGCTCTAATAACAGGGCAGGCTGAAAGCTCGGCAGAACTGCAGTTTTCCTGGAGCCCGGCAGAGGGCAGGCTTGCAGCTCTCGCGGTAAGTACCAGATTTCCAGGGTGACAGGAGGATAAACATCGCGCCTGGGGTGCAGGCAGCGGGGGGCTGACGCTCCGCTCTGACCAAGTCCTGGCCCCGAGTGCGGACTCGGCCCGCAGACCTCTCCAGCCCGCCCTGTGGCGGGCCCCACCTTTCCGGCCTCCCCTTCGCTCTTGCTCCAGCTTCACCTGATGGGTCTGCACTGTGATTAGACCTTTAATCCTTTGAGGTTAAATCCACCATTGCTGGAGCTGAATTCTCAAGTTCCAGTCACCGCTGCCTGGGTCTCTTGTGTTTCCAGTTCCTCCGTTGTTACTTACGGTTTCCTTTCAAGCTGAACCGAGTAATTTCCACGATAGAATTTGAATTCCTGCAATGCTGCTTCCATCTTTTGAAAATCATGTCTACAGTTGCAGCACTAGGGCTTAGGGTGTAAACCTCATCAGAATCAAATTCGGTCTCCACTGACACAATCCTAGTGAGACACAGAAGTGTCGTCTGTAAAGCTACATGCTCTCTCCTTTCCTATGATTTTCTGAAATGTGTAAAATTATAACTTTACATCATTTTATATCTTACAAAGCAGAGAGAATTAGGATCAGCCTGTATTTATGTTGTGAAAACCTTATTTACCATTTCTGGGTCTTTCTATAGGTTCCTGTTAATTTAAGGTTACCATTTCCTCATTTCAATACACTTATCTCTTACTCATCTTTTTTTTTTTTTTTTTTTTTTTTTTGCCAAATACATCGCACAGCTGCGTGTGACAGGCCTAACACCAAAGCGTACAAACTGTTTAAAGAAATGTCTTTTCCAAATGCGGGGCTCTTTCTCGGTGCTGTGTGTGTTCAGTCAGCTAGTCCCCTCTGGTTCCAGCCTCAAGAGGTTTGGTGGCGTTCCTGAGAGGAGGATCTGCTGTCGAAATTCTTTCAGGTTTTGTCAGGTAATGTCTTAATTTTACTTTTGTTTTCAGTTTTATATTTAACAATATGTATTTATAGACCATTTTCTAGACCCGTACATTCCATCTTTGACTTCATGTTCTTTTTTTTTCGCAAACAGAACTCTTACAAATGGGCTTTCTAAAATAAAACTATTAAAATACAACTTCAAAATACTTATTACGTGAAAAGGCATCTTCTGTGGTATCATTTTAAAGATGATTTTGCCCCACAGGAGATTCAAAACTGAAAAGAATTTTCCTTGTAGGAATTTGCCTGTGTCACCCATTCCGGTCCAGCCTGCATGGCTTTGATTCTATAATGCGGGTGGTGGCAGTGAGAAATGTGTCTGTGTTAAAGCTGCGTCTTTCTCTTTCAGTGTTTTATTATGATCTGTCTGGCTTAGGTGTCATCTTTTCTCTACAGCGTGGGAGTCAGTCATTTCAGTGTTCAGTTTACCATTTTTATCAGTGTGCTAAGA